TAGAAAATACAGAAAATCTATACTTGAAATTATATCATTAATACATAAAATCAATGAAACAACTGAATATAAGATCAATGTGCAAACTTGAATTGTCTTTTCAATTGTAGCAACAAACATTTCTAAAAGAAATTTTGAAATAAAGATGTCATTTACAAAACAAGAAAGTGAAATACCTATATTACTGTATGGCTTTAAAACTAAAAAATACAAAATGTGTGATAGAGAGAAATTCAAAAAAATCTAACATACTGAAGATCACAGCCTGATATTGATTTATTGACTGGAGAAGTCAACACTACAAAGATCCATAATCTGTAAAAATTATGTTAGTGATTATATGCAGATCCAAATGTAATCCATGAGAGTTTTTGATGTCATTATTTATTTATTTCATGACAGATGAGTAATAAGCCCATGTCATATTAAGATTAGGGAAGCACATCTCACACATTCACACAATAATTCCAAGTATAAACTACAAAAAATGAGTGTTTTTTTTTTAATTTGAGGTGTCATATACATAATATAAATTCCATTCACTTAAAAATTTTTATATATTCACAGAGTTACGAACAATACCACCATAAAAAAAAGAAACACTGTGGCTATTGGCGGTCACTTTCTAGTCCACTTTAAGCCATTGGCCACCGCTATTCTATTTTCTGTCACTATGGATTTGTCTATTCTTAATATTTCAAACAAACAGACTTGCATAACATGCGACTTTTAGAAAGGCTGTCCGGGATAAAGAGCCATACACAGCAGCAGTGATATCTGCACTTGGTGGTTTGTGGACTATACCTCAGTAACTTTTTTGAAATGTATTTTCATTGCTGAAACAAACAACAATTCAGTTTCAAACATAGGTGATCAAAATATTATTTTCATTTAATAAAATATAAAATTACCTGAGAGACTCCATACTCAGGGCTTGAATTCTGAAACTTATGCTTACAACTATATGCTTGTGAAGCTTCACATTTGTCTGCCTCAAGTTTATGTAAGTGTATCTTTACACAGTTGCATTGAGCAAAATATTCTGTTATCCTGCAGTGGAGAAAAAAACACAATTCATTATATTTTGGGACAACAATCATGAAACAAGAGAATTTTCCATGTATTTTAAAAAAATAATATCTAGAAAACAGGTAAGTACATTTATTAACATATCATTAGTAATAGTTGGCTATTAAACAAAGCTGATTATAGAAGTCCCCCTACTTTGTGGCAGACATTTACTCCAGTGGATTCACGAAAGAAACCATGAATAGTGCCAATTCTCATATGAGTAAATACTATGTTTTTTTCTATGCATACATACCTGCAAAGATTACTTACAAATTAGGCACATGAGATTATAAATATCCAATAATTTAATATAATAATTATAACAATACGCTTACATCACAACTCTTGCATTTGCAGCCCTGATGCCCTAAACTAAGAGTAATGGACACAGACACTATGATATCAGTGGACCTGATAATTAGATGATTACTAACTAAAGGACAAGTAGCACACAAAATATGGATACTGTAGACAAATCAATGTTCACATTTCAAGTGGACATAACAAACTACAAAGATTTGATCATACTACTCAGAACAGTGCACAATTTAAAAACTCATGAATTGTTTTTTCCAAAATTTTTCTACTAATATTTTTGGTTGTGGTTGATCCTGGGCATTAGAAACCACAGACAGTGAAACTGTGGATGAGGGTGTCTACTGTAGTCCACTATATAATATATATTTTATATGTATATCTCCATTATGCTAACTTTCAAAATATTTCTTCATGTCTAAAAATCAGCATAAGGTTATTCATATTATTCTTTGAATTTCTCCCTTTTATATATTTTTTCTCTTTATAGCACCATGCCAAAAACTTACTTAAGTTTGAACACTGAGCCATTTTTTGAAACCCATGGATGATCACTGTTGTTACGGAAGACTCCAATCCATGATTCAGGTACCAGTGAGCCCAGAAATTTCTATCGAAAAATGAAACCTTTTATTTAAGTGACTATTATAATAGATTTTATTCATTTTTAAAAGCACCAATTGTGCTTTTTTCCTTAAAATCCTTAATTTAAAGCAAAAAATATATTAAACAATATATTAAAGTAAAAAAGTTTCTGTAGTGCCTAGTTTTTGGGTTTGTTTTTTTTTTGCATAGATTCAAGCAGGTCAAGATGTTTTTGTTGCATGTATATATTGTCTTGTGGTGGAGTTCAGGGTTGAACTGCAACCATCATCTAAATAATGTACATTATACCCATTAAGTTATTTCTCATCCCTCATCCCTTTCCCACTCTGTGTCCCTTAAGTGCTTTCAGTGTCTATACTTCACTTTTTATGTCCATTTGTATCCATTATTTAACTGACACATATGACAACATGTGGTATATGATTTTCTGTTCCTTATTATAGCCACCAGTTCTATTCCTGTTGCTGCTAAAGTCATGATTTGTTTTTATGGCTGTGTAGTATTTCATAGGGTGTATGTCTGTATGTTTGTATGTGTGTGTGTGTGTGTTTGTGTGTGTGTGCATGCACACACGCATGCTCGTGTGTATATAAACACACATATATATTGTATATATGTAAATATTTATGTACATAGCACATTTTTTTCTCCAAACATTTGTTAATGGGCACTTAGATTGCTTCCATATCTTTGATGCTGTAAATAATGCTATAGTAAACGTATAAGTGCATGGACCTTTTTGATATAATTTGTTTTCATTTGTGTAGATACTGAGTAGTGTGATGGCTGGATAAAATGGTAGTACTGCTTTTATTTTTGAAAAATCTCCAAACAATTTTCCTTAGATATCGTACTAATTTACATCTCAACAGCTGTGTATATTGTTATGTTTTTTCCACATGCTTGTGATCATGTTATTTTTTGTTGTTGTTGATAGTCATTTTGACTGCTGTAAGTTGGTGTCTCAAAGTAGTTTTCATTAACATTTCTTTGATGATTAGTGATGAGTATTTTATACACTTATTGGCCATTTTTACATTTGCTTTTAAATAATGTTCATTTAAAGAGAACTCAAATGTTTAGCTTAATAATTTTATCCTTCTTCTCAAGTTAATAATAGAAAACTGTGATTCACATAATTTCAAAGTTACCCACGTTGACCAAACTAACAGCAGGGATTTGAGTAAATTTCCAGATTGTATATTCATTTCTCAGATATTGTGAATAAGTCAATATATTTTTCACTATATATATTGAGTTTTAGTTTGAGTATCACTCTTGTCGTCCAGACTGGAGTGCAGTGGCACACTCACGGCTACTGAAGCCTTGACCTGCTGGGCTTAGGCAATCTTTCCGCCTCAGAACTACAGACACATCCCACCACGCCCAGGTAGTTTTTCTGTGTGTGATTTATTGTAGAGACGAGGTGTCAGGCAATCCTCTTGCCTCGGCATCCCAAAGAGCTGGGATTACAGGTTGAGCTATAGCGTCTGGTCATATTTTTCACTGTTATACAGAGTTGTTTAGAAGGAGGTTAAGAAATTGCCATCAAGAAAATAAATGACATATGCCAAAAACACCTTTTTAATTGTTTCTTAGGGGTGTCACATTATTTTAAACTAGATAAACCCCCATTTTTATCTGATTTCATTTTGGCTGAATACCAGCGTTCCAAGAGCAGGTGGTACATATGCATTCTCTGTACTTCTCCCTGCTACATTCAACTATAAGCTATAAAAGTAATAACACAAGCAAAGGAGAACTCTGAATGTTAGAAATAGAATGCCGAAATGGTTTGAAACCCAGGGCCTAGGGATCAACAGAGTGTCTGGGTATCTTCAATCCCCAACCAACAGATAAAGTTAAGTAGGCCTGCTGTTTCTTATACCTGACCTAGCAATATTTGCAATATTAAAACACAGGCCAATAGTTTGAGGAGGAGGCAGCAGTAATGAGGACACACACAAAAGCAGTGCTGTTGGTGCTAGAAACATCTGTTTCAAGATTTTTGTATTGCAAGGGTCCATTCATTTTATGATCAACATGCACAATCAAGATATACTTAGTCTTCCTTATAAATAGTAAAATTAAATAACATTTTTTTTTAGAATTAAAGCATATATGTAAGCATGGCTTCTGTGAAAAGAAGTAATGCAGTGTGCATTAGCAAAATGTGAATACAAATAAACTATTTTAAAGTCAAGCTATAATATCTTCTTAGTTGAAAATAATTCAAAAAATATGTACAAGAAAATAGATTATATCTACAAATATATTCCTGACTGAAATAAGCTTTTAATAAAGTATTTGAAACATTAAAAATCATACCATTTCTTCTTCATCATCTATATAAAGCAGATTGGAGTTCATAGAAGCACAGGCCATCATACTCTCATTCCAAGGTTTTTTTTCCTTTCCAATGTAATAACAGCTATTGGAATATGTAAACCATTTCTCTGGACAACTACAATTATATGCTGAGGAAACATTGTAAATTACTATCCAGAAAAAATATGAACACATTAAAATGAAAGTTAATGTGCAAATTTACAAAGGTTTGTCATATATGTACATAACATATCAAGGTATCCTCACAGGATGGTACATATAACTAAAAACCCACACATTCATACACAGTCACACTTTAAAGGGGCAGCCTCTCATTCCCTAATTGTGTTCACACATGAAGCAAACCAACAGACAAAAGGTCACATTACACACATCTTTAAATCATTGAACAGACATAATGTTTTATAATGTAAAAATGTTTTAACTCATGATTTTATAGCAATAGGAATATGTGACTAATAACAAAAAAGGGTATAGTGATTACGAATGAATATTTATATTTATTGCTTCAGAAAAGAAAATAAGCTCTTAAAATCTTTATGTACAGACGTTTATTGCAGTTGTCATAATTTATTTCCCCTCAATAAATCTCTGGTTACTTTTTCATTTCAAAGAACAATACAAAATTAAAACTGTTATTATCAGAACTTTGGAAATCATTATGTACCTTTCTGATTGCTTGCATTTTGGAAAGAATTGATCTGCTTCTGTGTTGCAATAGCTAGAAAAATTAAAATAATCTTTATAAAAAACTAGTGCCTGTATAAGACATAATAATGTTAGTTTCTTTGAAATTGGTAAATTATTCAGATATTGAAAATTAGGGTTGTACAAAGAAAAAGTATATAAAATAATAGAGGTTTTGGAAATATATTTTAAAAGCATAAAGGGCTAAATTAAATATTTCATACAGTACTTGATTTAGCTACTTTCAAAAATTAATTTCTATTTCTGCTTTTTTAATGTGTAAACATGTTTTAGTGTTTGAAATCAGAGCAGGTACATATAATTAAAAGCAAATGCATTTTATAATTATTTAATTTATACTTTTGACAAGTTCAGATTAATCATTCCACATTTAATTAAAAAACAAATGTCATATGAGCACTCTATTCCCCAATATTTTAAAATTTTTAGAGGCACTTCTATTCATTTAGTTGAAAAGCCCCCCTTTGTTATTCTAATATATACTTACAAATGCTAATAACTCTTGTTACCATGGTCACTATTAAGGCAAAACAGATTATTCCCAGGATCCCAGAAATTAGCTTCTCTGGAGGTAATGATAAATCTGCATGGAGAGAAATAAAAAAGCAGAGATAGGAGAGATGGAGACAGTTGTTTAAAAGATTTGCATGCAAGAGAACCCACATGTCTAAAAATCATAGAGATAAACTTGAGCCAAATCACACATCCCATGATAATCTTTTTTCTGTGAGTATACCACTGCATTTTAAGTAAATATAATGCTCCGTGATTTGCTGGACAAACATTACAAACTTCAACAATGTCTGGGTAAAATTAGTCTCCATATTTCATATTAAAATAGCATAACTCATCTTGGAACTGTGATCTTCACAAATAAAAAAATATGTGAGCACTGCCCGCTCTCTTCCCATATTCTGGTAACCAAGCTGCACATTCTGGACAGTTATATTGAGAATCTATTAAATGCTTTACCTTTGACTTGGGTTGTTTTCTCATTGTCTTGAATATCCTGAGAAGCAGTTTGAAGATTTAAGTCTGCATAGATTATTTCCTGTTCAGTCACTAAAATGGTGCTTTTATTTTCCTTAGATTTTCGTTCTTGGCTCTTCAGGTTTTGGGAAAAATTCATTTCTGAGTAGATTACTCCTTGATTATCCATCTTTGCAGCTATGTGTTATCAGGAACTGTACTCAATAACAACAGAGCTTAAGTAACTAATACATGATTTATAATGACAACTGCTATCACAGTCAAAAGGAGCAAAAGGAAGAGTAAGTACGAATACTCATTTTTTATTGAATAACCTATAGTTTTTATTCTAATTTCCTTTGAGCTTAAACATATTTCTTATGGAAAAGTATTTTTTTTTTTTTAAAAAAGGTTTACATTTTTTGTGAAAATATTATTGCTGGGGCAATGAAAAACAATAAACTAGTAAAATAAAAAAGAAGTTCATGAATTAAAATACATTTATTAGTTAAAGTTTGATTCCACAAACATATTTTAATATCAACACAAGACAATACCAGCATTAAAAATTGAAATTAGTAAAACCTATGCTTTTTTATAGGAATTTTGAAATCCAATGTTTGTTAACACATGTCTGTACATGGAAAACACTCATGTTGACATATATATTATTTTTTAACCCCCTCTATATTATATTCTTTTTTTTTTTTTTGGAGTTGGAGTCTCACTCTGTCACCCAGACTGGAGTGCAGTGGCTGCTTCCGGCCACCGCAGCCTCGACCTGCTGGGCTCAGGCGATCCTTCCGCCTCAGTCTTCCAAGTAGCTGGAATTACAGGTATGCGCTACCACGCCGGGCTGATTTTTTGATTTATTGTAGAGATGAGGTCTTGCTGCCCAGGCGGGTCTCGAACCCGCGGGCTCAGGCAATCCACTCACCTCAGCCTCCCAAAGGGGCGGGATTACAGGCTGAGCCACCGAGCCCGGCTATATTATATTCTTTAAATTACTTTTATTTATGACTTACAGTCATTTATTCAAATGAATTAATAGTTACTAACTGTTTTTTGAATGAATGATAAATTCTGATAAATTATTAAGAATGTAACAATTTTTAGATTTTGGAAAATGTTACATGACAAAATAGAATTATGTATAACAGTATAGGAGACACTACAACTTAAAAGAATATTTATTTCATAGACATGTTGGCATTTATTTTCTGGCTAAAATATAAAGCCATAAAACAATACATAAAAATATAGATCATTTTTATCGCTTTTAGTTTTATTTTACAGAAAGATTCTATGGCTGTCAAAGTGAGTCAAGGTCATTTTAGCTGTGTATTTTTAACAATTCAGATAATTTAATAATTCAGCCAATGGAATCTGGAGTTAGAGAGATCTAGAATTAATTCTGACTTTAAAGCTTATAATGTCTGCCCTTTAAAAAGTTATTCAGTATCTAATAACTCAGCTTATTTTTAAAATGAGCATAAGAACTTATAAAATGTAATGCATGTAATACATTTACTAAATTGGCACTTAATGTTTTCAATAAATATCAGCTATTTTAATTATTATTTTCATCATAATTACTATGTTATTTTTGATTCATGTCAGTTAAAGCATGAAAAATAAATCATTAGAAAAGTCTCTTATACAAGTGTGGTACATCTTTTTGTAACTTTTGATTAACTTTTAAAAAGTAGTTTTAAAAATACTTTAATTAAATTTAGAATTTTATGTAATCTACTTCATTTTGGTTTTTATTTAAAATAAAAATTGCTTTTATTTACTTTACATAATTTTTAGTAGTGTGTTAGACTTTTATTAACCAATTTATTTATTTTAGCAATCTCTGTACAACAGCTAACCTAAATATAAAATTTTACATTATTCAAAAAATACACAATGTACTGTTTAAAAAACCAAAATTAGTTTGTAGTCATGATGTTTATAGGTTTTACTTAACTGATATTGACTAACAAACCCAAATATGTGTGAATGAAATTAACTAGTTCTCGACAGACTATAATCTGAAATCCTTAAAAAAATTACCCAACATATTTCATATATCAGGGTTTTATCCCAAATTATTCAAAGATAGCAATGTTATACTTGATTTTATTGTGTATGAACTGTATCCCCATTGCACCACATCTAACACTTGCTATCTCCCACTAAATGAGGTAGGCTATTTCAGAGAGAGGAAAAGTAGCCACACGTACCTCCTGTCTCCAGAAAGTCATGCATCCTTTAGAGGAGAGGCTGGGAATAAAAGGTGAAATTTAAAGGCATATATCCAGAGAAAGAACAAACAATGTCTGTGATCTTCACAGACTGTTTCATGAAGGCTCAGAGTGAGGTAAGAGTGGAAAAAGTTGATTGCTCATATGTCACTTAAGGTTTAAACAGGAAATTCTCATGCATGGGCTATATTGAAATAAGTTTATCTCATACACACCTCCAAAATACAAGGGATTTGGGTTCCTATTAAATGGACTAGGTAGGCTTTGAACATGTGTCATTAACTTACTCGTTTTCAAGTGCTTCTAAAAAGCTGTTTTTATATTCTACAAGAAATAGAGGATAGAGAGCGACCACATATATAAACTTTTTTCCATCTCCATCATAAGTATTGCCAACTTAAGCCTTATTAAGAGTGTCTCTGCAGTTTAAAACCCACTTTTAGACTAGATTGTTAATTTTTGAACATTACACACATCTTTTCTTCATATCCTTATTATGTCTCTCCATTATAATGGATGGAATTATAAAATTTATAATATAGTTAACATGTATTTGCTGATATTAGTCACTTATTATTATGATAAATTATTAAAGTGCCAACTTATTGTAGCTAGCACAGATGCCACTGCTGCCAAAGTCATATCCTTTTTTTTTTTTTTTTTGAGTTGGAGTCTCACTCTGTAGCCCAGACTGGAGTGCGGTGGCACGCTCCCAGCCACCACAGCCTCGCCCTGCTGGGCTCCGGCGATCCTTCCGCCTCAGCCTTCCAAATACCCAGAACTACAGGCGTGCGCTGCCACGCCAGCTAATTTTTTGATGTATTGTAGAGATGAGGTCTCACCAAATTGCCCAGGCGGGTCTCGAACCCGCGGGTTCAGGCGATTCACTCACCTCAGCCTCCCAAAGCTTGGGATTACAGGCTGAACCACCAAGCCTGGCTCAAATTCATATTCTTAACTTCTCTGCATTAGTTATTAAATTCCTGTATTTGATTTTGATTTTTTAAACAAAGTATTTAATTTTAGCTTTCCCTTGATAAAAATAAACGTATCTGGGAAGGATAAAACATTAATCAATTGTAAAATATATCACCAAGCCAGATTTTGAAATATTAAATAGCTATTCACTAAATGATTCATTCATTCATCCTCCTCCATGACTAATTATCTCTACTTTAATAGGAATATCTAGTTGTAATTGACAAAAACCCAAGTCAAACTATACGTGGAAAACAAGGTTATTTTAAAATCTCATTTAAGAGGTTGGTCAGCAAGTTGGCATAATATAAGATTCTCCAGTTATAATCCCCCACAACAACAATACATTTTCAGTCATCCGTGGACAATAATACCCATGTGGGAGCCTCAGGTAGGGGTTTGCAGAACCCCAGTGGAGCTCAAGTTGCTGGAGGGTTGTTTTAAAGGATGAATGTGCACTCAAATGGCAGGCTCACCAACAGTGATTCCATCTCCAGGCATGGAAATTGGCCATATCCCTGTGGGCTTGGCTTCTGCCCCATTTGTCCTTGGTTGTGCTGCTAAAGCTATCTGCTAAATGTCCCAGGAGAAGAGACGCACACTATATCTCAAGAGATAGGCCTATCAACAGTAGTCTCTATGTGTAAAAAGTCCTCTAACGTAGCTTTAGCTAGTCTTAGCTACAATCTGAGATCAATCTTGCATCCACAGGACCTTTTTGATAGACATGCACATCTGTGTCCCTGGGGTAAGCTTGCTGACCTCAGTCTGTAGAAGATACTAAATGGCCAGGAACCTGCTGCAGACCCATTCAACTGTGACCAGATCACTACAGAAAATTGCTGAGAGACTCGCCCAACTCCGCCACCAGTACAGGCTTCCTGTCTTCAATTCCACAGCAGATCCTGAATCATCCCTGAATCTTGATGCCACCCCCTCTTAGCTGAGAAGTTTTGCGTTCTCAAGACCTAGAGGAGGGTCATGCTTATCCATATACCCCTGGTAGACCATTAACCTAAGTTGCACAGTAGATCTTGCAATGTATTTTATGTTATCTGGCTTTTACTATTTAACTTTTACTATTACTGAACTGTGCAAGAACATTACAGCCATCTACCTCCATATGGTATTTTCCAATTTTTTGTTCAAATGTTGCCATATATTTTACTTGTGTACTTTAAAATAAGGTGTTATTATTATTGTTGTTGTAAAGTATTTGTATTTCTTTATTCATATATTTATCTGGAAAGAACTCATTATTTTCTGTTTAGTTTTTGCTTTACCTGTGATTTTATTCTGTTGGCCTGAAGAATTTTATTCTTTGCACTGCATGTCTTCCAATTGACAATTTCATTGGTTTTTGCCTGAAAATATTATTTCATATTCACTTTTACTACTCTTTTTTAAATTAAATAATTATATGTTTTTAGATTTTTAATTTATTTTAACTCAATGCTATTACACCTTTCGGGGTTTACAAAACCTTTTTTGAAAAACAAGTTATATTATTTTTGTTCTTTTAATGACAATATGTTAGTCTGATATTATAATTTGTCTATGGGAAATATGACTGTTATGTATATTGATGCAGTTTTCTTTTTTATGCATTATTTGGCTTACTGAGATTCTTGAAGTTATGACTTAATGTCTTGCAAAACTTGACAACAATTCTTAGCCATTATATATTTTCAAATGGTTATTCTTTATCAGGTTTTTCTCCCTATGCATTTCTGATTTCACCTACTTTAGAATACTTACTGCAGTGCATATATTACATCTATATATTAATGACTTTCAAATTTAATTTTAAAAAGTCCTCTATGTGCTTTCTTCTAGATATTTTCTATAGACTTGTGTCTAGTTGAATAACTTAGTGTTCTCTTGGGCCAATGGATGACAATATTCATCACTGAATTACCTAATTTTAGATATTTTTAATTGTAAATATCTATGGATTTTATAT